GGTTTCAGTGTACAAGTCTTGCACGTATTTTGTTTATTTCAGTGTTTCATATTTTGATGATTGTAAATGGCAGTCTTTTCATGAGCTTTTAATTTTAGAATAGTTTTAGATTTATAGGAAAGTTGCAGTAAATGACAGTTTTTTTAAAAAAAAGATTTTATTTATTTGACAGAGGCGAGAGAGGGAACACAAGCAGGGGGAGTGGGAGAGGAGGAAGCAGGCTTCCCACGGAGCAGGAAGCCCGACATGGGGCTCGATCCCAGGACCCTGGGATCATGACCTGAGCCGAAGGCAGATGCCCAACGACTGAGCCACCCAGGCACCCCAGTAAATGATAGCTGTTTTTTTTTTAAATCTCAGTGTCCAATTTTTCATTGCTAGCATAAAGAAATACAGTAATATTTTTTGTACATTTACCTTGTATCCTGCAACTTTGCTAAATTCACTGATTTGATTTGGAAATGGGTTTTTTGGGGGGGTAGATTAGCGAGGATTTTCTACACAGATAGTCATATTGTCTGCAAATATCAGATTTACTCCTTCCTTTCAATTCTTTATTGCTTTTATTTCTTTTTCATGTATTATTGTTATGGCTAGACCTCCAGAACAATGTTGAATAGGTGTATTGAAGTGGAGGTACTTGCCTTGTTTCTAAAGGGAAAATATTTAGTCTTGCACCATTAAACATTATTTTCATAGATACCCTTCTATTCCTAATTTGTTTAGAGCTTTTATGTTGAATGGGTAGTGAATTATGTCAAATGCTTTTGCTGAAACTGTTGAGATAATCATTTTTTTTCATTCTGTTAATACAATGAATTACATTATTCGTTTCAAATGTCAAGCCAAGCTTGCAATCCTGACTAAACCACACTTGGTCATACTGTAATATCCTTTTTATATATTGCTGGACTCAGTTTGATAATTTTTTAAAAAGATTTTTATTTATTTATTTAACAGAGAGACACAGCGAGAGAGGGAACACAAGCAGGGGAAGTGGGAGATGGAGAAGCAGGCCCCCTGCCGAGCAAGGAGCCTGATGCGGGGCTCGATCCCAGGAACCTATGATCATGACCTGAGCCGAAGGCAGACGCTTAACAACTGAGCCACCCAGGCACCCCAGTTTGATAATTTTTAAAGGGTTTTTGCATTTATCTTCATGAAGGGTATTGGTTTATAGTTTTCTTTCTTGATCAGGTTTTGGTATCAGGGTAATGCTGGCCTCATAAAATAAATTGGGAAATATCCCTCTCCCATCTTTTTCTGTAAGAATTTGTGCAAAGTTGGTACTATTTCTTCTTTATGTATTTGATAGGTTTTTTTCAGAGCTTGACATTTTCTTCATGAGAAGGATTTTAACTACAATTTTAATTTATTTCATAGATATAGGGATGTGAAAGTATTTCTTCTTGTGTGAACTTTGATAATGTCTTTCTTTAAGAAATTTACTTGCATAAAGTTGTTCATAATATCCCCTTCTAATCTCTGTAATGTTTGTAGGATTTGTAGTAATGTCCCTGCTTTCATTTCTGATATTGGTGATTTTTGTCTACTATTTTTTTCTGCTCACTCTGGCTATAGGTTTACTATTTTTCTTGATCTTTTCAAAGAACCAGGTTTTAGATTCATTGATTTTTTTTTCTGCACTTGTATTTATCATTTCCTTCCTTCTGCATACTTTTTAAAATTTCCTTCTCTTCCTAGTTTCTTTTTTTTTTAAATTTATTTATTTGAGAGAGAGGGAGCTGGAGAGAGTGCAAAAGTAGGGGGAGGGGCAAAGGGAGAGGGAGCAGCAGACACCCCACCAAGCACCTGAGCCAAAGGCAGATGCCCAGCCAACTGAACCACTCAGGTGCCCCTCTTCCTAGTGTCTTAAGGGGCATCTTAGATCATTGACTTTAGATCTTTTCTAACGAAAACATTTGATGCTATAAAGTTCCCTTAAGTACTGCTTTAGCTGGAGCTCACAAATTTTAGTAAGCTGTATGTCCACTTCCATTTAGTCTGGAATTTTTCAGATTCTCCTTGTGTTTGTTTTCTTTTACCTATGGATTATTTAGAATAGTGTTATTTAATTTGCAAGCATTTTGAGAATTTTCCAGATATCTTTATGTTGTTGATTTTTAGTTTAATTTCATTGTGTATGTAGATTTACTTTGTATGATTTTGATCCTTTTAAATTTGTTGAGTCTTGTTTTATGACCCAGATTTCAGTCTGTCTTGGTGAATATTCCATGTGCATTTGAAAGGAATTTGTATTCTGCTGTTGTAGGAGGAATGCTTTATCAGTATCAATTAGGTCATGTTGGTTGATACAGTTTTAGTAATTTCTATGTGTTCTATCAGTTATTGAGAGAGAAGTGTTAATTTTCAATAATAATTATGGATTTTTCCATTTTTCCTTAATATTTTCTACATATATTGTGAAGCTTTGTTATTAGGTACACAAGTATGTACAGTTGTTAGATCCTCTTCAACAAATTGACCTCTTTATCATTATGAACTGCCCCTATTTGTCCCTGGTAATATTTCTTGTTCAAAAACATACTTGTCTTAGATTGTGGCAGGCAGAGTAGCCCCGCAAAGATATCCAGGCCCTAAGCCCTGGAGCCTCTTACTGTCCTGTTACAGGGTAAGGGGGACTTTGCAGAAGTATCTAAGGTTATAGTACTAGTTTCTATTGTTTCCATGACAAATTACCACAGATTTAGTGTCTTAAAACTACACAGAACTTACTATCTCACATTTCTATGGGTCAGAAGTACAGGTGTACCAGGGCTAAGTTGGGTTTTCCGCTTAGAGTCTCACAAGGCCCAAATCAAGGTGTGGGCCGCATTCCTTTCTGGGGCTCTGGGGATTCATCTGCTTCCAGACCCTTTGGGTTGTTGTCAGAATTTAGTTCCTTGCGGTTGTAGAGCTGAGAACCCCATTTTTCTTGCTGGCTGTCAGCAGGAATCATCCTCAACTTCTAGAATCTGCCTGCATTCCTTGGCTCATGGCTCCCTTCCTCCGTCTTCAAAGCCAGCAAAGGCAGGTTGAATCCTTCTCATGTTTAGAATTTTTCTGACTTCCCCTTCTAACCCATCTCTCCGCTTCTGCTACATCTCTCTTGACTCGTAGGCCTCCTTTTTCTGCTTTTAAGGATTCATATGATTACATTGGGCTCACCTGGATAATCTAGGTTAATCTCCCTATTTTAAGGTCCCCTGATTAGTAACCTTAATTCCATCTACAAAGTGCTTTCTTGGTAGTGCCTAGATTAGTGTTTGATTGAATAACCAGGGGACAGGAATTTGGGGGAATATCTTTAGAATTCTGCCTACCACAGTTATGGACTTGATAGGAATAGTATCCTGGGTTATCCAGGTGGACCCAGTCTAATCACATGAGCCCTTAAGCAGAGAACTTTTGCTGGAAGCAGGAGCAATGTGGCAGAAGGAGACGTCAGAAGAAGTCTAAGTGTGAGAAAGATTCAGTATGCTGCTGCAGGCTTTGAGATGTAAAGGCTTCCTCAGAGAGAGCCCTCTAGGATCCAAGGGCAGCCCCGAGCTGACAGCCAGTGAAGAAACTGGGATCTCAGTCCTACAGCCATGAGAAACCAAATTGCCAGCAACCTGAATGAACTTGGAAGCAGATTCTTCCCAGAATCCCTTGATAAGAGCCCAGCCAACTGACATCTTGATTTCAGCCTTATAAGCATCTGAGCAGCAAAATTAACCAAGCTTGCCTGGACTTCTGACATATATAACTGTGAGATCATAAAATTGTATTGTTTTAACCTGCTAAGTTTGTGGTGATTTGTTAGAGCAACAGAAGACTGAAACAGATATTAATATGTCACTCCAGGTTTCTTTTAGTTAGTGCTTGCTTGGTATAACTTTTTCTGTCCTTTTAGTTTTAATCTGTGATTTTATAGACAGATGAAGTGGGTTTCTTTTAGATAGCATATAGTTGTCCTGCTTTTTAATCCAATCTGACAGTTCTTGTCTTTTAACTGATAAACGATTTACATTTCTTGTAATTGTCAGTAGGGTTGGGTGTTAACTACCTTCTTGCTGGTCCTGGGAACTGCTTCTAGGCAGTAAGCTGGAGCAGTAATTAAACTCACTTCCTTTCTTTCTTTCGTTCTTTCCTTCCTGTCATCACAGTCCTTTGCTGGACACAGCCTTTGTTGTCTAGTATCTGAAAACTCTTGTCTCCTATATTTTGTCCAGTTTATTGTTTAAGGTGGGAAGAAAAGCCCCATTCCTCTTACTTCATCAAAGCTAGAACTAGAAGTCCTCAACAGTGTAATTTCTAATTAATATTTTAAGGACATCCTCTTCAGGAAGTCCCTTTTATGTGAAATGTGAGTGTGTGTGTGTGTGTGTGTGTGTGTATATAATCTGTTCAGTCACAGAAAGTATAATACATGTACTAAAATGTTACTGTATCTGAACACGGCAGATTAAAAATGCCATATCTTTTTAAAAATAGAATCAAATAATTAGCCAGTGACGAAACTTGACCATATCCTAAACATGTCAGCCTTTTTCAGTCTCCATGTTTTGGTACATCTAGTTCCTTCTGCTTGGAATGCTTCCTCATCTCAGTCTTTCTTGCCTGGCAGCTTTCCACATATCTTCTGGAACCAGCTCCAGGGGCATCACTTCTCTGCTTCCTAGTGCCCCCAGACAGAATCCAGATTTGTTCTTCTGGGTTCCCGTCACGCTCTACCCTCGCACCATTCTGGCACACACCATTCTGTATTAAAATTCTGTGTTTCTGTGTGGCCTCCCTCCTACCAGAAGGCCCTGGAAAGCAGGGAACTTATTTTAGTCTCCTTTATGTTTCCAGACTCCCCTAACACAGTATGTCTACTACGTAGAGCTTTTCAATATATGATTGTTGAATTAGTGACTCTTCACACGTGCTCAAAAATGCTGCTGTTATGACTCTCCCTTTCAGTGTCACATAGTTGTAAAAGTGAGTCATCTTTAATCATTTTACTTTTCTCCTAGTAAATTCCTCATCTATGCCTGTCTCCTGCTGTTCTCTGTGCTGCTGGCCCTTCGTCTGGATGGCATCATTCAGTGGAGTTACTGGGCTGTCTTTGCTCCAATATGGCTGTGGAAGTTGATGGTTATTGTTGGAGCCTCAGTTGGAACTGGAGTCTGGGCACGAAATCCCCAATATCGGTAATACTGCTTTATAAAACCCACTGGTCTCTACCCTGAGGGAGCAATATCTTGTTTTTCACTTTTGACTAAGGACTGTTTTTTTCAGCCTCTCTGGGGTTTTATAAGAACTGTAATATAGGCAAACTGAGTTCTCTTCTAAGTAGTTTAAAAATTAGGGGTTTGATATGCATTTTTAAATAAAAGCAGTGTCGTTTGGGCTGCTTGAGATCCTAGCCCTCCCACAAAAGCCAACGTAATAGAAAGAGCATCCAAAATATCGAACTGTTGTATCATGCTGGGCTAGGAAGTATAAAACTATCATGTTTGCAGGAGCAGTTCCCTAAAACAGAAGCCTGGCTTTGGTCATCAGGGATATATCCGTCTCCAGTTCAGTCCTGGAATTGGGGTTCCTCTTGTCCCAATCTCCTAGTCCTGGGATTTTAGGACTGTTAGCAGTATGCGTGTTGGGAGGGTAGCTTGGCCAGGAAACAGTGTGTCGCTGAGACAGGGCAAGATGAGGCCCAGATGCTGTGAAGGAGAGCAGAGCCTTTGGGGGCCAGGCAGAGGGGTAAGCTTTACCTTCAAGCCCTCTGTGCCTTTCTTCTCGGCTGCCGCAGCTCTTTCAGGTTCCTGGAGTTGGCTCAGCTCCGGTGTGCAGCCTAGTGCTGCTGGGGCCCAAAGAGTCTCTTCTCCCTCTCAGAGGCTGGCACTTCAGAAAGGGAAAAGGGACACTTGAGGGGCTCTTCTCAACCCTCAGCAGGAAGACGGGGAGGGAAGGAGTGCCACGTGGGCAGCTGCTCACATGCGAGAAGGGCAGGTGTTTCGGTCTTGATCAGCTCATGTCACACACATCGCTACAGGCATAGCTGCGAACCTTAGAGCAGTCCTGCAGAGAGCCTTGGCAGATGGGGGACGTTTGTGTGTAGCTGTTTGCAAGTCCTTCGACTTCCTTTTCTCTTTTTTGAGATCACCTGTACAGCTGGCAAATCTTTTCTTTTTTATGAGATATTTTCAGATATCTAATATTTATGACTCAAAGAATGAAAAGTTAAATAACTAAACATGTTAGGTTCCACTCATTGATATTGAGAAGCTATTTGAGCTTTGCCCAGCTGGTTTAATTTAAGATTTTTAGAGCGAGAAAAGGAACTGTGTGTGTGTGGTTGAATGTAGTGAGTGTGCAGGCATGGCCATTCGGTGTTCACATTCTCCGGTGGAATGTTGGTGGGTCCTATACAGGTGACCACTGGCTTCATGTTCTCTGTGTCCTAACCTCAGGTGTATTTATCACCAAGAAGATACATCATAAATGTTTATCTGTATTTTGAATGAAACACTGTGGGCCTTCCAAATGCATTTTTTAAGCATTGCCCTGTTTAGCAGCCTAATTATTTTTCAGTTGTTAATCTGATGAGTTCCTGCATGGTACTTAAACAGCTAAGTAACCTGATTTTGTTTAAAAACAGTTTTAACTGCTCTTCCTTCTCTTTCATCTGCAGGTGTTAATTCATCCTCATGGAATAGAAAGGAAAATAAAAAGACGTTCATAATTTTACCGGCATTTTTAAAATAGCACCTAACAATAGTTATTATATTTTCTTGAAATATAACCCGCGCTTATTCATAAAGCTAGTTATTTTTATAGTATTGCATGAAATGTGATTTACATGGTTTTTAATTTGTTGAGAGATGAGGATCATGAAATTTAAGGGATATTTGTCCGTTTTTAGTAGTAGAAGCAATCAGCTTGAATAATCTTGGAAGTAGTTTAATTTAAAGTTATGAACACAAGCATTTATGTTTACTGTCAGGGGAGTAATAACTCTGGCTGTCACTTCTGAGAATGTCGTTATCCAGTTAAAACTTTGGTTTGATTGTAATGTTCATTTATTGTCATGTAGTAGTTCTTTGACGTTTGAAAGATTGCCCATTAAAGATTAAGTGTAAGTTCCCTTTTTACCTAACTTCCTTTGCTTTTTGTCAGATTTATAAATATCGTTCATAGTATCAACATAAGTTGGTATTTGACCTGGACTGCCTGCCTGTTTTGGAGATTCTGAACTGAGTATTTTTCTTCTTCTTCTGATGTCTCTTTTTAGAGCAGAAGGAGAAACGTGTGTGGAGTTTAAAGCCATGTTAATTGCAGTGGGCATCCACTTGCTCCTGTTGATGTTTGAAGTTCTGGTCTGTGACAGGATTGAAAGAGGAAGCCATTTCTGGCTTCTGGTCTTCATGCCGCTGTTCTTTGTCTCCCCGGTGTCCGTTGCAGCTTGTGTTTGGGGCTTTCGACATGACAGGTCACTAGAGGTGAGATTTCATATATTCAAGAATGTTTTAAAAAGTAAAATGTTTTGGTCTGTTATTGTAATGTACATTTCTTGCCCTTTGTTAGGAAGAGATTAGTCTGTAACTCTAGATTATGGTATGTAAGGAAACAAAAGCTGATGGAAATAATCATGGTTCTCTTTCTTGACTTAGAACGCAGGCTCCGTCCAGCTCCATGGCTTTCCCTAGTCCCCAGTGTTGGTCAGGCTTCTCCTGAGAAACAGAGCCAATAGGAGAGGTGGGGAAAGGGGGGAGGGAGGAAGGAAGGGAGGGAGGGGGAGAGAGAGTGCAATTGATTAATTTTAAGGATCTGGCTCATGGACTGGTGGGGCTGACAAGTCTGAAATTCATAGGGCGGACCGGTAGGCTGAAGATGCAGCCCGAGTCGATGCTGGCGTCTTGAAACAGAATTTCGTCCTCTCCAGGAAACCTCAGGCTTTCTAACTCATTCGAGGCAACCACCCACAGTCTCAAGGATGGTCTTTACTGAAAGGCAGTCCTTTCACAGCAATACCTAGACCCGTGCTCGCTTCAGTAAGCGGTCCTGTGTAGCCCGGGCACATGGACACCTCAGAGCAAGCGCCACGCCACCGCAGACCCCGTGATCTAGCGTTTCATCTGCTCCCCAGTTCGCTTCGAGCCCTTTGTGCCTCGACATAGGGGAGACGCAGCTGAATCAAAAAGCGGCGTGAGCAGTCCTAGTACCAGTACGGAAGGTGACAGCAGGTCACATTTCTTGAGCACTTACCGTGCGCCGGGCCCCGGGCTGGTTTCTTCCCGGGCGGTAGTGTCCTGGTGAAGTAGATGCAGCGGCCACCCCTGTTTTACGACAGGGGAAGGGATTTGTTCCTGGCCATTCGTTAAGGGGCAGGGCCGGGGCCAGGATCACACGTCAGTCAGCCCGACCCCGGAGCCTGCACACCGAACCGCACGGAAGCTGAGGGCCCAAAGCCCTACACGGACGGGGCGAGGGGAGAACTGGATGCTAGGGAGGCTTGGTTTTGAGCTGGGTGAGTAACAAGCGCAGGAAGGAGAGTGGCAGTGGGGCCGGAAGGCTCCCGTAGAGAGGGCTGGTGAGGGAGCAAGGCTCTGTAGGAACCCAATGGAACAGGACCCTGAGCCCTGAGCACCAGGACGCTTAGTCTCCACCGGGGAGAGGGCAAGGGCACAGGGGAGCGTGGCCAGTCCCGCAGCAGCGACCATGGAGGGAGGGCCATCTGAGGGCTCACTTCCCCCCCCGCCTTCCTCAACCCGGCCACTTGTCTGCAAGGCCCCTCTGGCTGCTTTCCAGGGGGACGAACACTTCTTGAGGGAGCACAATTCGGAAAAAGATGTCTGAAAGATGCCTTGGGTGACAGTCCTGAGAGCAAGGTTGGGAAGCACAGAGACCCTCCTCGCCCCCGGGCAACCTGGTACCTGTCAGGCCTCTGCATGGTGCTCCTCCCCGCTGCAGGCAGACCCTCACCCCTTCCGGTTCCTCCGGGCATTTGCTCCTATGTCCATCCACGCTCTGTCTGGTAACACTGGGCTCTCGCATCTGAAAGAGAAAGCAAAACGACAGCAGCAAAAGCTTCTCAGTCCTCTGTCTGGCTCTTGTGCCTTTCTCTTCGTCCACAGAAAGGCTCCCTCCAGCAGAGCCCTTCTGACCCCTGGCTCCCCGCTCAGCTCCCCCACTCCCAGGACACTGGCCAGATCCAGTGGGCCCTTCCAGTCCTTTTTTTCTGACCACCAGGCCCGCTGTGGCTCCTGACACTCCTGGGCCTTTGGCTAGACTGGCCCCCTCTGCTTTGGCTCCTTTGTTGCTGCTGAGGATTCTAGGCTTGGGCATTTTCTGTCCTCACTGTGCGTACTTGTGAGCCACACTGCGGATGATCTTGCTTCCTTTCTGTCTCCACTGCCACTTCCATGCTGTTGCCTCCTGAATTTACGTGGTCGGACTCAGGTTTTGATGCCAGCTCCGGACTCCTTTTCCAGCGTCGCCTGACTCCGTGTCTCTGTGCTGGTCAAGGCACCATTTCCACCCGCTGCTTTGCGTGGTTTCGCTACTACCTGCACAGGCGGAGCCAAACCAGGCTTCAGAAACCATTTGCAGGGGCGCCTGGGTGGCTCAGTCGGTTAAGCGACTGCCTTCGGCTCAGGTCATGATCCTGGAGTCCCGGGATCGAGTCCCGCATCGGGCTCCCTGCTCGGCGGGGAGCCTGCTTCTCCCTCTGACCCTCCCCCCTCTCATGCTCGCTCTATCTCATTCTCTCTCTCAAATAAATAAAATCTTAAAAAAAAAAAAAAAAAAAAAAAACATTTGCAAAGGCTTACATAAACCAGAATCACTGAGGTCACACATTCCAGGTAGTCCCTGTTTGGCTCAACATTTCTCGGTGGGGGAGGGACATGGGCCGGTGGCCTTCTGGATAGGAAATGCTTTGTCGAGCAGGACCGTCTTACGCACTGCGGGACGCCTCTGCCTGACCTCCGCCCACTAAATGCTGGTGGAGGGGCTCTCCCCATAAGTGCGTGAGAGACCCAGGGGCGCCCCTGCACCGTTCCCAGCCTCTTCCTAGGGCAGGGGCCGTGGCGCCCAGGTCGAAAAGCACCGAGAGAGCCATCTAAATGTAGCCGGATAGCGACTAAGGAGGAAGTTTAAGATACATGTAAAAATTTGGAACTTTGTTTCTTAGAAAGTAAAAGTATATACAAGGGCCCGGATTACACTGGGCACGAAACCATATTTTCCTAATGTGGAATTACAAAAACTAAGTCGTTCATGTAGTCACACTGGGTGTTCCTACCTAGGGGAAGAAGCGCCATGCCCGGAGTCGAGCTCCCTCTTGGTGCTTGTGTCCCAGGAGGAGGAGTACTATGTTTGCTAGGGGGTGCCTGGGGATAGGCTTGCACAGAGACATGAAGGAAGAGTGGGGTTTGCCAGGGCGCCCTGTGCAGGTGGGGTAGGGGATGATATTTTCCAGGCAGAGGGACTCACACACACAAAGGCGTAGAGGCAGGAGAAAATCTGTCATGCTGAGTGAACTCTGGTGACCGCAATGTGACTGAAGCACGGTTTTGCAAGATGCAAAGACTTCTGGAGATGGATGTTGGTGACAGTCGCACAACAGTATGAATGTACTTAGTGCCGCTGCTGAGCTATACAGCTAAAGATGGTTAAGACGGGAAGTTTTCTGTTGTGTGTATTTTACCACAATAAAAAAAAAATTGCCTGGAGCATGAAGTGGAAAGAGAGTGGTGGGAGTTGGGGGAAGGGAAGGCTGTAGAGAGGAACTGGGCCACGTAGGGGCCAGATCCTCAGTCCTCAGGCATGTGCTGAGCTGCTGCAGGCCGCCATAGTGAACTCCCAGGGCACCGTGGGAGAGTGGACATTTTTGAGGGAAAAGCGATGATACCCACCAGCTGCGGGGATACCTCCAAGTAGTTTACAGTTTTATGATTAGGTCACCCTACATTAGTTTTGACGATATTGGAGAAGAAGCTGGGTTGTTGGCAGTTGCCGCGAGGAGAAGGTCGTGCTGTGCGAAACTCTGTGTGGAGAACAGCTAATGAGGATGGCGGGTGCGGCGCCCAACAGGCACGCACGACCTCATGGGAATTAGTCGTGGTTATTTAGGAGTGAAGTAAAAATCATATTTTTCTTTTGATTTATGGGAGTTACTATTTTTTTTTAGATGGCTACTTAGGACAGAAATATACTAAGTTTAGATCTAATTACTTAACCCAGTGGAACTGTTAAGGATTTCTTTCAGCCCAGAGGCCTCGGAAAGAATTGCTCCCTCACAAAATGCCCTGCGAACGAGAACTCTGGGGAAGCTCTGGGCCAGATCAGACGGCTTCCCGTGATTTTCATTTTGTAGGCAGTGGCAAGCCACGGAAGAGTAGCGAGTGCTGCCACCAGAAGGAAGACGGCCTGGCGGGCATTTGGGAGCAGAGAGCCTTCCAGACTGGAGGCTGGGAGGCTAGTCAGGGGGCTGTTGGAGGCATTGGGGGTGGTGGCTGGTGAAGAGAGAAAGGCCTGATGAGACAGTAGTCGTCGGGCTGGTGGAGAGGACAGGGCGCAGTGACGGAGCATGCAGGAGTGGGAAAGGAGGAGATGGTGCTTGCTGGTGGTGTGGCTTGGGTCCTTGGGTCACTGGGCCGCCGCGGCGCCTTACAGCAAGGGAGGGCGGACGGGGTGAAGGTGTGAGGGGCTAATGGACTCAGTCTGGGACTGGCTCTGGCTGAGGCACCCCTGGGAGAGCCGGGTCTGGGCCACAGCAGGAAGGCTGAGTCAGAGACAGAGCCGGGTGGAACAGCCAGCAGGAGGCCACCCAAGCTGGGGCTGGGTAGACAGCAGGGCGAGCGAGGGGAAGCCTGTGTGTTCGTGTCCGTGTCTCTCCAGTGCGGACAGAAGACCAAGTTGAAGGCTCTGGGGGGCATCAGGGTTCAAGGAGAGGAGGAGACTGAAAAGGAGCTGCAAGAGCACCAGGAGGAGGGCGAGACTGTGCCGGGCTCCTGGAAAGAGATGCCACACAGATGCCCCGTAGGATGATCTGACACAGGTGGTCTGATGCCGTAGAGGTTACTGACGACCTTGACGGAGCAGTTGCCAGTGGTCGGGGCTGGAGGCCGGATCGCAGTGCTGGGAGCTCGGAATGGGGAGGCCACGGGCTGGAGCGTTCACGCTGTCTCACTGAGCTGGATGGTAACAAAGTGCTAGGCCTGGGAGCGGATGCTGGCTCCAGGGAGGGAGGGGCTCATTTGGTCTTGGGGCTCTTTTGTGTTTAATGGGAATGAGTTGAACTTGTGTCTGTGCTTCTGGGAGGGATCAGTGGAACAGGAGAGGTTAACGATGCAATAAAGAATCCGTAATTGATGTCTTGATGTGACAAGGTCCTCAAGGAGCCAGAAAGGAAGAGGTGGGGAGCTGAGTCCTGGGTACAAGAAAGAAGTGCAGGTATGTTACGGGTAGGGGCAGGAAGGACGCTTGTGCTGTCTGCCGCGGATTGCCTCTACCCAGCGAGCCCGGAAACAAGGCTGTTGTTTGGTAGAGCATAAAGGGCAGGCAGCCGCTAAGCAGAGGGGCCGAGGCAGGAGACCGGCGGGCAGGTTTCTTGCTGTCGCCGCGTTGCTTCGCTCCCCGGTGCAGAAAATCAGGAGGTCCCAGTATAACTTCATCAAACTTTTCCCGTATTATAATTTGCATTGCCTTTTAGTTTGTTAACCAAATAATTGCAGTATTCAATACAACTTTTACTTTGCTTAACTGATTCTTCTCTTCATTTTTAGTTAGAAATACTGTGTTCTGTCAACATCCTGCAGTTTATATTCATTGCCTTAAGACTGGACAAGATCATCCACTGGCCCTGGCTTGTATGTAACTTTTTAAATCCTTAAATAAACTTTTCTTTTTTTAATTATAAAAGTAATTTGTGTTCCTTGTAGAAAACTTGGAAAAGACAGACAGCTTAGGTAATCGAATGATAATGACCCGTAACCCACTGGGAGAGAGCATGGCCAGTGTCCCGGGTTTCCTGTGCCGGATGTTACCGCTTCGTGAAGGCCGCTGAGCCTGTGCGGCGCACACGGTTTTGGGCGCTGCGCTCTCATCCTAACGCATCATGAGCATTTTCCCCTGGCAATAAAAGGTGTTTATAAACATAATTTTTAAAGTTTAATTGATGCAATGTTCTTCAAATGCATTTACCAAACATCCCCTTCCGAATATTGAAGTTGATACCAGTGTGATTATAAATCATGATGTAACATATATTTTTGTGCCTAAAAATCTTCCCCTGATTCTTTTCATTATTTTCTTAGGAAGGACTCCAGAGACAGTATTACTGGGCCAGAGGGTGGGAACTTGAGATTTTGGAAGACAGGCTGCACCCCCGACTTGCTTTTCAAACAAGTTGTGCCACTGGACACTCCTGCTCAGAACCTGTGGCTTCAGTTCCTGGGTGTTTGGTTGAAATTGCGTAGATGGATAGAAGGGGGTGGGAACGGGGGTGGATATGGGTACGTACACATGTCATTATATATTCATAGCAAGCTACAGATAAGCCAGTAGGACTTGGACTTCCTGCTATGCATGCCTAGAAGGCAGGTGAGAACCGACAGAGAGGAGGCACGTGGCCTCTGGGAGGTGAGGTCGTGCTGGGGTTTTGGGTCCCCACTCCCACTGCTGCTTGATGTGTCCTTTTGCACATAAGACATTTTCTGTTATGAACATGGTTTACCTTAAAAAAAAAAAAGTACCAAGTATAGCAAAAAGAGAAAATATTCATTTGGTGACAGGGAAGAAAATAAGGGAACATAGTCACCTCCATAATGAATAAAGGCAGAACTCATCGTCTCTGCCCAAAGTCTTTGATAAAACAGTCATAATACAAAATGTTCGGGTACCTGTCCTCCATCTTTAGGGTGGTATATCTGGAGAAAGGTAATTGGGTTCAGGATTTTCTGTTGTGATATGGAGGAAAGAAATCTAAGTAAGACCAACATTTTAGTATAAGGTGCAATCAGAAAAAAAAAAGATGAATTATAAATGTTTTTTGTAGGTGAGCGGAGAGGTTTTTCCAGCCCCAGTCAGCAGATGGAACAGTCTGATGGCATGCTTCTCACAGTGATCAGGAGAGACCGAGGGAAGCTGCTATGATCACTATGATCCCGGGGGGGGGGGGGGGGGGAGGAAGGTGGCTAAGTGAGCGCTGCTAAATGAGGAAGGGCCCTGGGAAGAGACCCTCCATAGATTGTACAGCAAAACCTACCATCAGAAACTCCAGGCTACTTGAGAGGATTAAAAATCACACACCAACTCAAGTCATAGTTCTAAAAACAAAATGGAAAACCGAAGAACTATCTGAAGAAAGCATAGGAGAAAATCTTTGGGAACCTGGGGTTAGATCAGGAGTCCCTATAAGTGGCACTAACAACTAACAACAAGGTCCATAAGAGCAGCTCAGAACTGAAATGAAATGAATGAAAAGACAGGCCACAGAGTAAAAGAAAATATTCGCAAAACATGTGTCCAAACGAGGACTTGGATCCAAAACATCTTAACTTTCAAAACTCAAAAAACAACCTAATTTTAAAATTGACAGAAGACTTGGAAAGACAATTCACAAAGAGGATATACATATGGCAAATAAGCACAAGGACAGGACATCATTACCCAGTAGGGAAGGGCAAATCAAGGTCAGGATGAGGTCCCAGGATACACTCATCAGAGGGCAGAGCTAAAACACGAACCGGAGCGCAGGGGAGGGTGGGGAGGGACGGCGACACTTGCACATCGCTGGTGGGGATGCCGAGTTGTAGAGGCGCTCTGACAAGCAGTTGGGCCGTTTCATGGCAAGTTCAACACGGGGTTGACATACTATTTAGCAGGGCCAATCCGGGCTATGTCCCCTAGGGGAATGGCGCTGCAGGGCTGGACAAAAACCCGTGCCTGAGTGTTGGTAGCAGCTTTATTCGGGACAGCCAAATGCGGGAAAGCACCGCAGTTTCCTTCCATGGGTGCTGGACGCACGGGCAGTGGCGCGTCCACCCTCTGGAACGCCACTTGGCAATAAAAAGAAACAGCCTGTCGTCACCCGCAGCAAGCGGGGGGGGGGAGCCTCACGACTCTGGCTTGAGGGAAGAGGGAAGAAGGCAGCCGCAGACAGCGGTGCCGTGGGGTGCTCTTGAAACAACCGAAGCGTAGCGAGAGGGAATGGGCCAGTGGGTGCCAGGCGTTGGGGTGCGGTGAGGGTATGACACCGTGAAGGACCGCACGAGGGAGTCCCGTGGGGTGAAGCAGCTGTCCTGCGTCCTGCCTGGGCATACACAGCTCTGCACATGAGTGTGTGGAAAGTCATAGACCTGTCCACCAGGGGAAAACAGTCAATTTACTGCTTGATAGCGAGACAGAGGGATGCCAGACGGATCCAAGGGCCAGTGCAGGAGGGAGGAAGACCACACAGGGGAGCCTGGGGAGGCCCGGGGGCTCCTGTGCGCCCCTGTCGGGGTGAAGCAAGCTGTGGTGCGGCGCCGCAGGCGTGGAAGCCGCCTGGGCGAGGTGGCAGGGACCGGGCGGCAGAGCCCTCTCGGCGTCCCGCGCGCGTGAGCGGAGGGCAGCATCGGGCCGGGCCGGCAAACAGCCGTGAACCGGGGGGGGGGGCTGTCAGGGCAAGGTGGGGCAAGTGGGCAGGGGGGCGCGGGCCGCCCTGTTGCCCTCGGGGCAGAGCCAGGTGCGGGCCGCGTGACGTCCTGTCTTAGCCGGGCAGCTGCCGGGCCCTCCAGCCCGAGCGCGGCCCGTGGCGGAGCGTGGCCCGGAGCGGCGGCGGCCCAGGCCATCCTCAGTGCCGCCGAGCTGGGCCGTCCTAGCTGCGGCCGTCCGCCAGGGCATGGCTAGGCCCGCCTGCAGGTGCTGGGCACAGACCCTACCGACTTCTTTCTCCTTCCTTCAGGTCGTGTGTGTCCCTCTGTGGATTCTCATGTCCTTTCTGTGCCTGGTGGTCCTCTATTACATCGTGTGGTCTGTCCTGTTCCTGCGTTCCATGGATGTGATTGCAGAACAGCGAAGGACACACATAACAATGGCACTGAGCTGGATGACCATCGTCGTGCCTCTCCTTACTTTTGAGGTAAGCTGTCGACAGCAGAACTCTTCAGGCCCTGAATCCCACCCTTCCCTGCGACGGCCCTCCGAAAGCACCGCAGAGGATGGAGGGATGGAGAGCATGATGGTAGAATTAGAGCATCCTTTCTTTTGGGGAAGGGGGCGAGCAGGGAGTCTCCGTAGCCATGATGCACCAGTGTGTGTTGATGTGTCTACATCTAGGAAGAGGGAGTTGGTGCAGAATTAGAGACTGGGCACTGTTGATGCTTTAGAACAAACACCAGCAGGAGCTTCCCGTAACAAGCCTGGTGGTGGACACTTCCCAGGTAGACAGATTTTGCTTCGTCCTAAAGAGGGATATGAGAGTTTACCTTGCGCTTCCCCCCAGAATAGAGGGTTTCTCCAGTCTCCCGTGGAGCCGACCTTCCCCCTTATGAGACCTGACAAGGGAAGGGTGGACTGATCTCAGCCATTGTCCATCCTCAGATGCTTTATCAATAGAACCTCAACTATTTCTCTTTCCTCAGATCCTGTTGGTTCACAAACTGGACGGCCACAACGCATTCTCTTGTATCCCGATATTTGTCCCTCTTTGGCTTTCCTTGATCACTCTGATGGCAACCACATTTGGACAGAAGGGAGGAAACCACTGTACGTATTCAGCACTTCAGAAGCCCTTGACCTGTGTGTGTGTGTGTGTGTGTGTGCGCGCGCGCGCGTGAGTGTGTGTGGCCCCACTCTGTGAAAGGATGAGCCTGAGGGTCCCAGTTAAGGAGGTCGCCCGAGGAAGACCTGGGGCCTTCCAAGGGAAGGGTGCGCTGTCAGCCTTGCTCTCCGCGCCCTGTACCATGACCTCCCTAATGGCGCACTCTGCCATCTGAGGTAGGGCTGAGCGTGCTAGGTCGCCTCTCAGCCCTGCTTCCCAGAGGCTCCCAAGGATTAGATCAAAATCCATGTCACCCACCAAACCCTGGGAGTGCTCTTAGGTTCTGTGTCCTCCTGGCTCTCCCCAGCGACATTGCTGACATCAGTGTGGCTTGTCAGTGGTGACCTGCTTGCCCTCTCTCCTCCCCACCTGCACGATGGCACATTTCAGTTTTGAAGTGATCTTGACAACAGTTCCTTCCTTACTAGACTGTAAGCCTCTCTGCAGGTAGCGCCGGAGCGTGCCATTCTGGAAGCCAGGAGGCGGGGCGGTGGGGGGTGGGGGTGTGCCCTGGGAGAGCCAGCACTGAGCTGACGGTCCCGGGGTACAGACAGCAAGAGCACGCCTCAGAGAAGCAGCGTTGAGGGGGCCCCGGGAGCTCAGGCTGCCTGCCGGCCTGGACCAGCGTGGCTGCCAGAGGCTGCCCGAAATCCCTTTTTTGCTTGACATGCTTGACATTCTTTGGCCTGTGTCAGCACATCCCAGCTGGGGAAGACGAGGGGACGGTGACGTAGCCTCGACGGCGCAGGTACCCGTCAGAGACGTGCCAGAGCAGTCCTAGCCGCTGGAGGCCCATCAGAGGGACCCCTCCACCCCAGCCACTGCCTGATCTCTAGCGAGGTCGCAGCACGCCCTGTGGTTGCTGCCAGTCTGGGAAGCCCACTCGCAGAGCCAGGGAGCCACAGGCCTTTCTTCTTGCCCTTGGTGGGTATCCAGGCCTCGCTCGATCTTCATTTCTAAGGCATCAGGGTGAAGCATTACGTTGTACGAATAAAACTTCATGACTGGGAAAGTAAAGTGACAAGGAGATTCAGTGGAGGCCAGTGTTTGAAAAAGTACATCCTTCTTTTTCAGGGTGGTTTGGGATTCGCAAGGATTTCTGTCAGTTTCTGCTTGAAATCTTCCCGTTTTTGAGAGAATATGGAAACATTTCCTACGACCTCCATCATGAAGATAATGAGGAAACGGAAGAAACCCCAGTTCCAGAACCTCCTAAAATTGCTCCAGTGTTTCGGAAGAAGACCAGGGTGGTTATCACCCAGAGCCCTGGTAAATACGTCCTCCCGCCTCCCAAATTAAATATTGAAATGCCAGATTAGACACCACTCCCTGGAACGGAACGCAAGCGGACCAGGACGCACGCTGTCTTCTAGCCTCCTCTGCCTCTTTGTTTACCCCACCCGGAACTGGAGCTGGAGCTGGGGCTCCGGCGACTTGCATCTCATGCCTTGTTTGCACTCAATGCCTACCAGTGACTCACCGCGACGGACGCACACGTGGCAGGGGACGGGCACGCGCAGTGTGGGCTGGGGGGTGGGTGTCAGCGGCCGTGGGCATGATGGAGGGAGCGCGCGCGACAAGGAGAGGGCGATCCCCTCCTCCAGGCGGCTGCCTCGGGAGCTGGCTGGGCTCTGGTAGGGATGGCTGACTAGGCCAGAGAAGGAACTGGTTTTCAAAGTGCTACGATTCCCATCGGAAGTGTTCTTCGGAAACGTTATCTGAAGCCAGGCTGGCCCCGCCACGCAGCTTCGAGTCCGCCGTCGGGGTGTAGTCAGGAGGAGGTGTAGCTACAGCCCGGCGCCGCGTCCGCGCCGTGCTGGCAGTGCTGACGGCGGGTGTTCCGGCCCCCCGGTGAGCCCCTTCCAACGGAGGGACTCCGTGCCTGTATAGTATTTATACGAATCTTTTAGCCTTGTAATATACCGTGTCCAATCCTAGTTCTGTACAGTATACTCTGTTAAAGTATTTTTTTACGAGCCTGTATCGGAGACGTACGTGTTCTGTTGCAGAAGTAGATGCTGCTGGCACACCTGTCGTGCCCGGGGGGTGTCACGCCTTCATGGGACATCATCATTTCCCCCTTGGAATCCTCCACACACACCGTGGCTGCCACGGCCAGAAAGCCACGGAAAGCAAGGAATGCTCGGGGCTCCCCTGCGCCGTGGGAATATCGGCTGTCAGACAACCGCCGGGCGTGACCTGAAGCCGGAAATACTGGACAAAGTGGCTGAGACTAGAAACAGCCACTGGAAGGGTGGATTTGTGAAGGTCTGAGGCGGCGTGTCTGTCCGCAACCGAAATTGTGCCGGCTGGGCCCGGGCCTTGAACTAGCAGTGCCGGGGCTCCAGGAGCTGTGGCTGGAGCCACGAGGCAGAGCGGAAGCAAGCGGACGCTCCGGGCCAAGGGCCGTTCGTTCCAGGAGGGACAAGGAGCACTGACGCTGTCACCCCGGACAAGGGGGGCACGGTTTCACGTGGGCAGCTGCTGCCATGTCCAAACCGGGCTCAACTGGTGTCCAGCACACACGAGACCCCCTGGCACGGGCTCGAGCCTGCAGTCTGGGGGAGAGGGGAACACCGGGATGGCAAAGCCTTTCCTGCTTGGTCTGTAACAGATGTAGCGCAATCCACTACTTTTGCTCCCTGCAGCTGTTCAATAAACTGGTTCCTCCTTTTCCATGGTACTGTGTGCATCTTACTTTAGATGTCGGCCAGGCCACTGGAATGCTCTCAGCCAGCATGAAAACGCCCTCCACGGGCCACCGGCGGCCGAGGCGCCCGGGGGTGGGTGAACATCTCTAATGAGTCTTTGGGCACAGCCTGAATGTACAGAGTGTGGAGGGAAAGACGGACACCCTGGAGACTCGCCCAGCGGCTGGGGAACACCCTGCCAACACCGCGACAGCTTAGGAGCCTTCCGAGAGGATTCTCGAGGCCCAAGCCAGTCTAAACCCGCAATGGGCATTTTAGCGGTCCCGGGGCATCGCCCGGTGACACCAGCGGCTGAGTAGGGCTTCCGGTTACATAAATTACCCTGTGATTTCTGTCTGGCCGGCCCTGGCCGTGCCTGCATTTTACCGGGCACTCAACGCAGGCGGCGTTTCAGCCCACGGTTTGTACCGGCTGGGGGTGGACTGAGGCCCTGCAGGGAGCCAAAGGCCACAGACTCGCAGACAAAATAGCCTCAAGCTTGGAGGCATTTCTGCTTCATGGATCTCTGGAAGATCATCGAGTTCCATGCCCAGAATGGAGTTGGGGGGTGGTGCTTTGGGGGAGGTGGCCCTGCACGTGGGGAGAATGTGCTAGAGAGGCTTCTCTGCAAGGCCGCCTCTTACTGATGCTCCCAGCCCCACAGCCCAAAGAAGGATGGCGGAGCTCAAGCCCTGGGCACCGAGCAGGGCAGGTGTCCCTGCCGTGGTCGGTCAAGGAAAGGACAGTAAGCCAGTGTGGGGCCAGCGGCTCCTGGCCTGTCCCAGCGGGGCCAGGAGTCAGCCTGGGAGGCGGCGGCGGGCTGGGGAGGGGGCCGCCTGCAGGCTGACGAGAGGCAAGGAAGGAGAAGGCCTCCTCCCACTCCTCCTCCTCCTCCTCCTCCTCCTCCTCCTCCTCCTCCTCCTCCTCCTCCTCCTCTTCGCTCTGCAAGGGGGCGGTGGGACACCTGGCTAACGCAGTCCCCTAAGCAGCAGTCGGCCACGTGGCCTCTGGGGACCCAGGGCGTGGGTGAACTAGGGGGGTCTCCGGGGAGGACCTCAGCGCCCTGGCTGGGACAATGCTAAAAGGACCACATGGCCCGCACCCTTGACCGGGGACGGCCCCCCACGTCCGCCCCCTCCCCCGGGCCTTTGCTCCGGGCTTGAAAGCGTGCATCTTGTTCGGGGCTCTCGAGGCCCACGGGCTCAGAGAATGACCTCTGACCTCCTTTAGGCGGCCCGTCAGGGTGGGGCAGCCGGGCCCCCGGGGAGAGGGATGCAGGACGCAAAGACGGCTTGGGGTTTGCCCCGAATGTTTGGCGTCTTGTTTTAACGTGCAGGCGAGCGTCCGCTGTCCCGGTGAAGGACCGTGAGTGACCAGAATGTTGGCGTGCTGACAGGTCACTCGCGTGGCTGGCCCTTTATCAGGTCACCGGCTGGCTGTGTTGTGAGGTCAGCCCCAAGTAACGCGCCGCCGCTGAGTACGGCCAGCGAGGAGGATAGTTGCTCCTCCAGCCGCCCCTGCCGCCACGCTGGCCCAGCCGGTGTCAGCTGGAGACCCTGGCTTCAGGCTGCTGCCCGAGGAAAACGCTTTCCGAGCCTTGCCCCAAGAGCCTCTGTTCAAAAGGCCACGCACCAGCCGGGACGCCCTGCCCGTGGGGGCAGGCCATCTCCTCTGCCTGCCCTTCCCCAAGAGGCTGTGGAAAATCGTCAACAGCGACCAGTTTGCATCCATTTGGTGGGACAACAATGGCACTTGTATGGGCATCACCGAGAAGCTGTCTCAGAAGGAGATCTTGGAGAGGGATGGCCCCAACGAAGTGTCTGAAACGGGCTGTATGAAGAGTTTCGTCCGCCAGCTCAACCTCTATGGATTCGGCAAACTGCGCCAGGACGTTCACACATCCGTGAGCCTCACCCACTTTCTCACTGGAGGGGCACCTGTCCACGTCCTGAGCAAGGTAACGGTGGGCGCCCCCGCCCCTGCGGGGGGCATGGGCCGCCAGGCTCCCGGGTGCTGTGGGCGGGTGGGCGGGAGCCCCAGGACTGCCTCTTGGGAGTCGGGCGCCCCGAGTCCGCCGCCTCTGGGCGCTGGTGACAGCGACTGAGACTGAACGTGGGGAGAGTGCTCAGGATGGGGCCGTGCGTGTCGGGGTGCTTCCTTCAAGGACACCTGTGCTGTAGCCCATGCTGACCGGAGCTGACACTGGGGGGGGGGGGGCGGGGAAGGCGCACGGGGAACGGGTAAGAGAATGGGTCCTAAGAGTTCTCCTCACAAGGAAGAAAGGGTCTTTTCCTTTTTTCCTTCCTTTCTTCTGCCCCCCCCTTTCCTATTTCTTTGTCTTTGCTTCTTTTGGTGGGGTATCTCTGTGAGGTGCTGGGCATCAGCTAAACTTGCCGTGGTCATCGCTTCACAGCACATGTAAGAGAAGGCATTGTTCTGTCCACCCCCAGCGGAGGGCTGCCTGTGCGGCCCAGCCCTTTAAGCCCAGGAAACAGGGGATCCTCCTGCCCTGCCGCTGGGGGCGGGAGCCCCGCGTCAGCAGGGGCTGTGTGTGCGCACGCGTGACCCCGCGGCTCTAAGCCGTCCCCGGAGGCGGGAAGGCGGGCCCCTTTTGGTGAACCAGCGGTGTCCCCTGGTCGTCTGGGGGCCGTGCTAGCCCCAAAGCGCTTTGGGAAGCCTGTCGAGGGCTGAAGGAAGGGGCGTGCTTCCCCAGCTCAGCGGGCCCCTGGAGGCCCAGAGCCAGGGGCTCCCACCCCGGGGGTGGGGGGGCAGTGCGGGGGTGGCGCGCGATTCTGCGGCCAGCCAACGTGGGCTCCGAAAGCCGCCGCATCTCCTGCCCCGTCTGCAAACTCCACGCCCCCCCTTCTTCGGACTCGGACGCTGACCCCCGCTGGCCACTTGTAGTCCTTGCCCACGGGTGACGTGGGAGTCCTCAGCGAGCGAGCGTTGAGGGTGCAGAAGCTAGTGCGCAGCTTCCTGTTGGGACTGTGACCTTCTCGCAAGAGGCCTTGGGGCCGACCGCTGGGTGAGGCCACGGAGGGGCCTCGATCGTGGTTGCCGCTTGCCATCAACTCTGTTGTGATGGGGACTTTCTTTTCCTCTTTACAGTTTGCACCCCAGTTACAGTTCTACAGGAGCCCCTTCTTTCAGAGAGACTGCCCGCACCTGCTGGTGAGGATGAAGAGGAGAGTGGGCGTTAAATCCACGTCAAGGCAGATGGAGAGCGAGCCCGAAGCCCCGGCGTCCCCCCGGCAGCACCTAGAGCCAGCCCGCGACCAGAGGGAGTCCTGTCCTCTGCTGGGGACCAGCGAGAGCCGCTGAGCAGCCGACAACGGGGCAGCCCCACTGCCCGGGGCAGAAGCCAGTCGGCCCCTCCAGCCACGCTCGGGGCGGCGGCCAGGCCCACCCTGACAGAGTCGGCCCCAGGGTGCCCAGGCGCCCGTCACCCTCGCGGCTGATGTGGCCGCGTCTGCGGCGTTCCCCTGGGTCTGTCTCCCCTGCCTTCCGTGCAGATGCACCCTTGCAGGCTGCTGCTGGGCCTGGCCGCCGGGCCCCCCGTGCTGCTCCCCGAGCCCACCACGCAGCTCCCCGGGGCTGGGCTGCTGCCCGTGTGCCACCCCTGGGCGCCCAGCGTGGCTGCTGCGCCCGCCGCCCCCGGGACTGTGATTCCTCATCCCCCAAACCCCTTCCACTGCTGTCCGGACTGCCGCTGTTCCCCCGAATACCTGCCACCTACCGACGGGTCCCCCGAGTACCCCCACTGCGCACACTACAGCAGCTAGGGGCGGTCTTGTCGTCGGGTAACAGGCAGGCCAATAAAATGTTTCAGAAAGGGAGCCCTTTTCTGATGACCCCCAGAGCTCGTGGCCTCCGCGATGACCCCCGGTGCTCGTGGCCTCCGTGATGGCTCTTTCCCAGCAGCTGGCTAGCCCTCCGCTCGCTTTCTGCCGGCGTGGTGAAGAGTGAAGCACAACGCCCCTCCCGGCAGAACGCAGGGGCCCAGGAGACCTCCGGTCGGGCCCCTCGGAGGTTCCGCATCCCGTCGTTAACAAGGCTCTTTATGGCGCTTGACGGGTACCAGAACCGAGCATCGGTGGCCTGGCGAGCATGATGGCGATGTTTTCCCGGTCATACAGGCACGTTTCCCTGTCGTGCTGGGGTCCTTGTGTGACAGGACCTTCACTTTACCCACAAGAAGAGGTCCAGGCTCACCTCGTAAGAGGGCTAAAAGGGGCCCTGACCGTTCTCCAGCGCCCAGATGAGGGTGGGGACAGTTGCCGCCAGGGTCCTACAGGTTTTCGGTACGGAGGGGGCTCGCTGGGGTCTGGACCACAGGATTTATGGTTGGCTCGCCTGCAGGTACAGGAGCTGGTGACACTTCCCCTTTTCCTTCCCATTCCTTCTCTTCCTCTTTGGAACTAAACACATCGAGCGTGCCACACTTCGACTTGGGAAGAAGCAACCTTTGGGTGCTGGGGTGTCCAGCGTGCACAGAATACACGCTGTCCTCGCCGAGCCTCTTGTAAAGAGCGATTGTCTCAAGGAGCACTGGCATTCGGGCATCCGTGCTCTCACCGTAGCAATAATGGGGCATGGACAACGCAAGAAGGGCTCTGAAGCCAGGCGGAGGGAAAAGCAGCCATCCACCAGAACAAGAGACACAGCTCTCCTCCACTCTCCACCGGACAGCGGGTAGGGGGGCCCCGTGAGAAGGGGGAGAGCCCACAAGAGAATGAGCACATGGCGACGGAGGAACAGGGGCACCCGTCACCCCGAGGCTAGCGCTCAGGTGACCGTCGCCAAATCTAGCCTGTCCCAGCCTGCTCCCTGATGAACTGACGCTCACAAATGGGTCCTCCTCCCCTTTCAAAGCGTCATCAATCTGGGAACTCCTGAGCTCTTGGGAGCTGCCTTTGCTGTTTTCCCTCTGTATCCCGGACTTCCGTATGCCTCCCGATCCCGAAGCCCAGACTGTTTGGACCAGCACTCTCCTATAGACTTAAACCCGTGCGAAACTTGCTGACGTCAGCAAATCTCTACAGAAAGCGGCCACTGTGCCCATCTGGCACCTCCACTGTCCGCTCTTCATAAAGGGCGTGTGGCCGTACGTACAAAGCCTAGACTGCGTGATGTCAGGGGCAGACCCGTCCCACACTTCCTTCACACCACGCAGTCACGTCTGCATGTCGACCCTAATGCTGCTGATGGCAACGGGCTGGCCCCGAGCCCTCCTGGGCCGGGCCAGCAGGCAGCACTTGGAGCTACCCACAGGAGCACCAGGAGGGAACTGAGCGTGAAAGGCTTCCCATGGGCTGGGCCCAAACGGCCAAAGAAAGTCTTGGGAACAACTGGTGCTCGAGAGAACAGGGGAGGGGCCGTGCAGGCCCAGAGCACTGCAGCTGACTTTCTTTTAAGATTCTATTTATGAGAGAGCGAGCGAGAGCGAGCGAGAGCGAGCGAGAGCGAGTGAGCGAGCAAGCGAGGGCTGGGGGAGGAGCTGAAGGGCAGGCAGAGGGAGGGGGAAGGAATCCCAGGCAGACTCCACGCTGGGCTCAGAACCTGACGCAGGCGGATCCCAGGACCCCGGGCTCATGCCCTGGGTGGAAACCAAGAGTCGGACGCTCCGTCAACTGAGCCCCCCAGGCGCCCCCTGGATCTTAACTTTTGTTCCCAGGATACCGTCCTAGGTGAGAGCATCTAGGAAAGTGAGAATCAATTCGAACAGCAAAGGCTGCACAAGGAGGGCCGTGGGAAATGGGCTCCAACGTACCAGAGAGGGGACCCTTGATGCCCAAGTGGTAGAGCCGGGCGATTCTGGTGGCCACGGGCTCACGTCCCACAGAACGCTGCCCAAGCCTCCTTCCTGCTGGGCTGGGGTCTGCTCTGTTCCTCAGGGGGCCCCCACCATCTCTGCTAGGCTCCCTTTCTCTCTGTCCCTTCTTGGGTGAAGGTGCCAAGCGGTGACGGCGGGAGCGGGGAGGAGCCGGAGCCTTTCCCCCACTGAATGGCCAATCCCAGGAGAAAGCAGTGCTGTCATCGTCCGTCCTGGAGCGCGTGTCCTGTGGAGCCATGCGGGCCGTTTTCTGCCTGGGTGCCCTGGAGGGTTTGGGGAGGATTGGGGTTCACACTCCTCACGAGAGTCACCGTGTGAAACATGGATCACCAGTGCAGAGAGACCGCCCGGGTGCTCTGGGTCGTCGCCCCAAAGCAGGGCATGGGCTGTCACGTGGTTCTGTGACAGCACATGAAGCAGCGACCCCAGAGAGGGCTCTCTGAGAGAGGCACCAAGAACGAAGACCTTGTTCCCCAGCAAAGCCTTGGAAATCCCTGCTCAGTCCCCAGGAAGAGCGGTCCTCACCTAGCGCCAACCCCTCACACCAGGGCGATCCCCCAGCTGGGGACACAGGGCAAGGGCTGGAGAGATTCCTGAGGTCCCCACTGGGGAGCGGGGCGGAGGGGGGAGGGGACGGTCCTGCCAACCGGAGGGCAGGGACCAGGGAGGCGGCGGAACGGCCTGCAGGGGCCAGCACAGCGCACCACGCAAAGGAGGACCAGGCCCCAGGGCCCACAGGGCCTCCAAGCGCAGACCCTGGCCCCGAGGGTGGCCCGCCCCTCCCCCACCCCACCCCCTCACCCGATCGCCTAGTGCTTCCACCAGATACCATGAGGCTCACGACGCCTCAGTTTGCGAGGCAGGATCCGGAGGAAGGACCTCACCCTCCCCTTCCCAAGTACACAAACCAGCTGAAAAGGTCCGCTTCCACAGGATGACAGTGCAGGTTCAAGTGTGGTAAGCGCAGGTCGCCATGACGACGGCATCAATGCCCCTGTTAGGAACCCACTTCGGAGACGTCCCAGGGTGCCTACGAATACAGGAGGACGCTACTGCAAAGTGTGAGTGCCCACAGCTCTTAGGAAACGGCTACATCGCAGGGGCCGGGAACACCCTGGTTCCTTTGTTCTTTGCTAAATTGCGGAGGTCCATCGGCTCTGACCTTCTTAGTTCTTCAGCTGGATTTGCAGTCAAGCCATGTCAGGCTTTTGGACCAAACGGGGCTTAGCCTCTGGGGACTGAAGCCGGCCAGCGCCTCGGCGCCGAGCTCTCCGCGGATGAAAGCTGGCAGGGTTTGGCGTGAACCTTTATGAGCAAAGACGCCAAAATGAATCGTGCTCTACAGACCGGCAGGCAGGGCTGATTAGAGGCCATGGCCAGAGCCTTGTCCACACCTCCAGCACAAGCAAAGTCCCTGGTGCGGTGACAAGGCGCAGAGACGGGTCCCAGGCTACAGCCTTCGGCCAGGAGCAGAACCTCAGAAATGGGCAGGGGTGGTCCACGCTGTCACTGATCGATCTCACGGACGGGTCCCCGGAGGTCCAGGCCCAGTGGGCTTCCCCCGCCCCCAGCCCATCCCTGGGACCCTTCACACACACACACACACACACACACACACACACACACACACACCACCCACCCGGCAGAGGATCCTCAGCCCCCAGAGCGGTCCTGGCAAAGAAGTCCAACCTGCTCTTCGGGAGACCCCCAACTTCTCCACAACCTCTGACATCTGTGATGGCCCTGGGGTCCAGCTGGGGGGGTGGGGACCCAGGCCACCGGTAAGATGGGCCTCGTGGGTTTTGTCCCAGACCCGGGCCAGAGGCGGCCCCAGCCGCCCAGGAACCTCCCTGTGGATGGGCACAGGGCAGCCGGGAACCCACCTCCTTGGTGCCCCGCCTTCTCCATGGGGAGAGCCAGACAAACGGGGACCTGGACCCAGGCCGCTCACGTGTTCGCACACCCCCTCCCCCACACCTGAGACCACCTCATACCATTATGGACAAGAGGGGCCAGGAAAACCGTCTGTCCAGACCACCAGGGAAGGAGGCGCTCGGGGGCCTTGGCCTTTCATTCTTCCCGAGGGCCGCGAAGAGAGTCAGGGGCCCCTCGGAGCGCTCGGGGCACAGCCGGGCCTGCCCTCGCTGCCTCAGGCCGATGTGAGCCTGCACCAGCAGCCCTCTTACTTGTCACCTTGGCACCTATTAGGGGCCCTGTCCTCCTGCCTTAGTGCGTGCGAGGAGCACAAGGGAGGCGGGGGCACCAGGGAGACAGGAATGTGGAGTAGCTTACTGAGCGCCACGTGGAGGCGGGGAGGCTGCAGCCGCGCTTCTGTGGGCAGCAGACAGGCCAGCAGCGCGGCACCTCGCTGGCACTCCTGGGTAGGGCAGAAGCCAGTGCTCACCGGCAGCGCCGCGCCGAAGCTTGTCGGGCTTACGTCTTGCCTGGGCGCTTGCGGAAATGTTTGCACACCTTCTTGCTGTCCCAAGTAGGAGCGACGGTCCCCATGCACTCACTCCTGCATGGTGGGGGCCCTCACTCAAAAAAACCGCTCAGTTTGCTTGGGGCAACGATGGTTGGGCGATCCCCTCACAGCCACCTGACAAGGAGGCAGGGCAGCTTGTCGCCCCGATGGTCGCCCCCAGGGTGCCAGGCCTTTCCTTCAGCTGCTGTCGCACTTCGCTCGGGGCCTGCGGTTCTCACACAAGATGGGACGAGGCCCCCGAGCCCTCAGCACGAGGTCTCCACAGACTCAACGGACCGAGCTCTCACTGGTCCACGGCCTACGTTCTAGAAATGTGCTGGGTCCCAGCTGAGCCGGACAGGCCCCGGCCTGTCTGCTCGGTGAGGACAACGAGCTGCAGGATGGCCCGCCGCACGGGGAATGTTTCAAGAGCACCGAAGGAGCCGGCGCACCGACAGCCAAGGGCACGCCGCCTCCCCAGGGCACCGAGGGAAGTTGAAGACCTGGGCAGGACCCCTTGGCATTTCCGGGGA